CTGGTTGGGTTCAGAATGCTGAAGAGGTGAAGGAGGCCAAATACCCTGGCAATGTGCATAAAGTGCCCCAGTGAAACGAGCCTAGTAAGTGACACTGGAGGTTGTGGAACAATATACGTATCTTGGAAGTTGCATTAGCTCTGACACTGGTGTAACAGACGAAGTGAACGCATGGATATCAAAAGTCAGATTTGTGTTTGCCAATTAGCGCAACTAGCGTGAAAAAGGCGACCCACCGTGCCTGTGTTGCACTACGGTGCAGCTACATTGTTGTGCGCCTGCGGGACATAGCCACTGCGGACAGATGATATCAGGCTTCTTCCAAGTCTTTGACTACCGATGTCTGAATACCAAAGCTGAAATCGACTGGCACAAGCGAATTTGCAATGAGGTGATCAATAGACGGGTCTTCACTGAACCAGAGCGTGCTTCCCTTAATGGATGCATCAAGCATTGCAAGCCAATCTGGCTGGGTCATGTGTTACGCATATCGAGTCACCACCTACCGAGTTGAATACTGTTTCCGCCCCTAATTCCGAGTGACAGAAACCTACATGTGGGCACAATTTGATATGAAGAAGGGAATGGAGGATGTTACGACAGTTTTGGATGTCGTTGAAGCTGTTCGATTTCCAGGATTGGGCCCCACAACCCTCCTAGCGCTTGGCTGGAGACACTGAGTGATGTGGTGGCTAACCGGTGTCAGTGTAATTTCTGGTGTCAGTTTCTATCCGGATTATCTGACTGAGTGCTGGAGGCATAGGCAACTCGGATGTTTATGGTACCCTAGCCATCATCCTTCTAGCATTCATCCTTCTTCTTCTTCTTCCAATTATAGGACTTTATTCAAACACAATGGCATCGTTGTATGGTAGTGAAGCACCAGTGTTTCCCTCTGATGTTGCTGGCAATAATGATGATCGTGAGAAGGGTATGCATGGATTAACTAACTAACCCACACAAGCAACAGGCTTTCTCCCTACCCTTCTTGCTCCTCGTAGTTTTGCTTGGAAATTTGTAGATGGGTCATGATAATTTCTCACAGCCGTGATCACATAATGACTATTTCGGGTAGCAGAGCCACCTAACGTTTGATTTTGGAGGATAGATGTCTTTTATGGCACATGCACTGCGTTCTGGAAGGGCTTTGCTCCTCAAAGCCCATCCCATGAAAGTTTGTTGTTGGCAGAAATCACTTCGTCAACGAAACTTGTCACAAGTTTGGGACATCGCTACGTTTGTTTTATATTTCAGTCGCAAGCGCCACAGAATACTCAAGCCCTTTGTTTCGCTCGCAAGTCATACACCCCACCCGTACAGAGAAATCTCACTATGAGTAAGCCCATCTAGTGTCAGATAAAGGTCACAGCTGTACCGTTGCAATTACTGAGGGACGGCTCGTCTCGTTTTGAGATTCCTTCAGTATCAAATCACGTGGTATCGACTGGCAATGACAGTTGGTCGCTCTTGAGGTTCACACAGACCCATAAGAAGTGTGAGTTTTGTAGAGTAGTTCTATGGATATACAGCCGGGCCGTCATGTATGTGTACCACAACTGCATCAGCAGTATATACACCGCACTGTGAAAAAACACAGATCATGTTACTTATCGCTTCGCTAGTGTGCAGCCAAAACAGTTGCAGTCCGGCCGCTTGATAGCCCTGTTACGGGTCTCCTTAATCTCACCGTTCCCTACAAGCTACTCTGTCTCTGTGGTGCTCACTGCAACCGCGATGCTTGTAGTGGCCTTGGTCTAACAATGAAAGCGGCAGAGACACCGTAGCTATGTGTGTGGCTGACCACCTCCACAATAGAAGGGGACATGAACGACGTGTGTCAGGACAGGACTAACTCTGAAAAGTGAATACATGCTGATGTGCACCAATTAAGCCAATAACGACGTCCTACAGAAACGGTAGATGTCGTACCATGGCCAATCATCTCACGCAGGCATACTAGTATGCATGGTTGAAACAGGATACAGATGACAATATCATCCCGTGTTCGCCGTACAACCTAATAAAATATACGTGTATTGGTGTTCTGGTGGGGCATTTCTAGTGTACACTGGATAGCCATCAGTGGAGTGAATAAGGACCCGTTGATAGCCCGTTGTTGATAGCTTACATGCTAAGTCAGGATAGCGGTGTTTTTTGAATGATTGATCTCGGGTAAAGTTTGCGAAGAAATTGTGGAAAGAAGGAAGCGCTTCTTTCGAGGAAGTGGCCTTCGTACGAAGAACCTTGTAAGGGGAACAACTGGGAATACAAACCAAGTACATGCGACCAGTTACTAAACATCTGCTGGCAAGCAGATTCGTCTCGGATGTGAAACAATCAGATATATATGGAAATGGTGTCAGGTCAGTTACCTCTCGTTCGATCAAATCATCAAGAGAAATGGTCTCTTTCTGTTCTTCCATCTTCTTCTGTTCACGCTTGAGAACAAATCCTGATATAGCGGATGACGGGAAAGCGAATACAAAACCTACCCGGTGGGAGAGCGTGTCGGTAGTGGCAAGCCTTTCCGTTTGGGCACTCCCAAAACCACCCGTATTTCATATTCTCTACAGCTTCCAAAAAGTATTTGCAAACCTATTGGCGAGTATTGTGAACTCTAGAAAGGGGACGTACGATTGTAGAGGGTGGCAGGCCTTTGTTAGCTGCATCATGCTTTTTCGAAACAACTTCCTCCAGTTTAGCAATATCCCAGTCATCCATCGATTCTTCAACGTGATCCTCGTCGGCGTATATACCACGTTTCTCTGCTTTCCTCTCCACGGTCAGATCATGGGAAAATTTGCACTTGTCGCCTTTTAGACACTGGCCTTGTTTGAAAAATGCACACAGCACAGATTTTGGGTTTACGCCTAAAAGTCGCGGTGAAAACCGTAGTCCAACGCATTTACCCTTCGCACACTTTTGCAATTCGGCAACGGGTTTGAAAAGTTCATTTAATTCCGCCTTCTCTCGCAATTTATCCTCCTTTCGTGCCAATTTCTCCTGTCCAAGGCGGTCCAGCTGTAATAGCACAATAAGAGTGGAAATAGGAAGAACTCACCTCTTTGGCTGATTTGTTGCCATGAGTAACCTGCTTTTGCACCTGCTGGATGAACTTCTGTTGCTTCGCTCCCTTCTTGTTCTTCAAACCGAAGGTCTTATCCTGCACCCTTGTTAGGCCAACCCTAACCAAACTTAATGACGTACTTCAATGACCCTCTGTTTTTGTTTTTCGACCGCTTTTTTAGATACATCTGCTTTCTTCGGCGGCATTCTGGCGAAAATTGAGTGTTACCGGATTGCCTTTAATGAAAAAGCGGAAATCGGATTAGCTTGATCGATGGCGTCAACCAAAGCGCCAACCAATAGCGTCTATACCATTCTTAGACACTATTTCTTCTTAGTGCGTCCTAAGCCTTCATTGATTTAGAAACACGAGCTTCCTTCCGAGCCCACACAAAACCACCATTCCCGGGGTAACCTTAATGTCGTGTTGTCGGAGCAACGGTCATCATCATCATCATCGACAGCATGACATCAGTGTCGAGCACCGATTATAATCCCATCCTGCGGCGTATGCGTGACATCAGCTTATCTGTCAAGGGTTGAGTTAACAATGCTACGGTGCGATACACTTTGCTATAAAGGTTAGAAACGTGGTCACTGCGTGCCAAGGACGTCAAAAGACTTCCAGTGTTTGACCACCGCTATCCTCGGAGCATTGTCCGAGTCTGGTGAGAACACCGGATCAGCGATGCTGAAATACGTTGAATGGTATTTGGAGGAAGTAACTCGCCCACGATAGATGAACTGGAAACAGTGCATTGGTTGCGCTGGCTCGTCCACGTGTTTCGTATACCAGTTGACAAACTTTCTCGAAGGATCCTTTTTGCAGAACCACGCGAAAGATAGAAAGGAGCCAAGGGATGCCAAACAATGACTTGGCAGCGCACTGTGAAAGCCACTACCAGCAAACTCCGTCGCGCTAGTCATTGCTGTCTCCCTGGATAGAGACCCCGAGGCGGGTCACATCAATGATCGGAGACATTGTCAGACATTGTCCAGGGCGCCATCAAAGGCGCTGGTACACCAAAGCTATCGCCCTATAATGCAAAGCTCCATTCCCAATCCCGACCCAAAGCTGATCCTGTCAAAGTGGAGCAGTCAGACCAAGAGCAGCGAGAACTCGTACCACGAGTAATCATACTATGAGGTGGTCTAGGGGTAGAGTCATACTGTCCTCTGAGACAGGAGTGTGAAGGCAGTAAGGTGTTTCCCCCAGGCGACGAGCATGTTCATACTTATGAAAGAGCGATGCTGCCTTTCCCTGAGGAAAGACGGGTTAGAAAAGGTTGGCCTCAAAATCCACACACTCCGATCGCCCAAACGTTGACCGTGACCGCCAGCGCACTATTCAATATGGTCGAAATACTTCTAAAACCTGGGTCCAATAATGCTCAAAAGGCACCTAGTGTGAGCGGCTGTACTAGGAGTCGAACAGTAATACCCTACTCCATGCGCCTCGGGCCATGCCTGCTACCTTCAGCCAAGTAGGTAAGACTATTGAGTCATTGGTTGCGGGAAGGGATCTCCAATTAAACCCCGAAAACCGCTATCTCGCGGTTCAAACTCTTGAGTCAGAGGCTAGGGGCCTTACTGGCTGGGCCTTACTGGACAGGATCCCAGTAAACAGTCATTTTGCACTGTGCGATTGTCTGGCTCAGTTAAGATTGACACGATGTTTGTTGGTCATATCAGCATACGCCCCAACAGAGCAGTTCGGAAACTGAGGACATGTCTTTTCAAGCTGTCACAACTGCTTCGGTCAGCAAGGACGGATATAGTAATCCTGCCCAAGTTGGACGACTAAATCCGAAAGGATCACAGTTAGGTGGTAGATTTGGAGTCGATGCTGAGCGCACGTATAGTGGACAGCGACCTCTTCAGATGTGTACAGATCATTGTCTGCTCCCAGCCAGTATGAACTTCCAACACAAACGCTCACATCGAGTTACTTGGAGGCCACCTGCCACAAGAGTCTTGGACTCAATTGGACTATGTGGCTCAGTTACCGATGGAGAGCCTCAGCTATGGATTGTCGTTCCTTCTGGAGTACGCCATGGTGCGGGTCTGCTTAGCATTTCGCTTTCCGCTAGCATTAGGCGTGCCAAAAGGGAGCAGCTCTGTTCACCAACTTCGACAGGTTTCAGTAGCTAGAAAGCCACTGGAAGAACACAGTTACGTGGATGACGAAGATTGCTTGGAGGTTGAATGGAAGCGAGTTAAAGCTATCGGCCTTCCAGCCCATCCGAATAGACTAAGTGAACATTGGGGGCAAGATGCCCAAGTGGTTAGAGCGCGAATTTACTGACCACAAGGTCCGTGGTTCAAATTCGACCTCTGTCTCTCGACTTTCCCTGTCTAGGCTTGGGCAACCTGGTAGTATCCCAGCCCAGTACCACCCTTCGGGTGGCATGGCAGGTAGGTACCGAAAGGGTGCTACAAATGGACGGCTTTTTACACTGGATCAGATCTTATTGCTGCCCGAAAGGCCATACCAGTAACTAACGACTATGATGGCACATGCAGATCACTCAAACACCGGATAATCAAGAGCTTGAAGAAAGACAGAGAACCCTGGTGTATTTAAAAGGATCAAAGGTGTCCTTTCGAAATTTATACTCCTTGAGGGTACTTTGTGCGGACCTCTGTGGGCGCGTAGAAGAACACAGGAAGCTCTGGCCTGCGTTCACCACATCCAGCGGTGTAAGACAAAGTTGTCATCTTTAGCCTTTCCTCCTCAACTTTGTTATTGATATGCTGCTTGAAATTTCTCTGTCTGCCTCTGAAAAGTCGGGAGTCGAAATGCTCCTGGGACGTCCCCTTACATCAACTGAGTATGCAGACGATATTGCTCTCCTTAGTTCACGTCCTTCCCAAAAGCAGACGATTTTAAATGACCTAAATAACTCTGTCGACGGTTTGTCATGAGCTTCACACCTGGAGTGTAAAGTGCCGCTACAAGACTGGGTGGGATCACACCCACACCTCGTGCTTGCAGGCGAGCCAATCGACGTGGTAGGTAAATTTGTTTACCTGGGCAGCTGTATAGTTTCCTGAAAACAAGCTGGAGACGAGATTATTTCTTGAATGGGAAAGGCCGGTGAAGCTGTTGCCAACTTCCGACACCTATGGCGCCGACGTGGTTTGCCTGCCAAGGGTAGACTGGTGCATAGTTCATGCCTAGAATTGCTTGATTGACTGGTAGACCTGTATTTAGGCACCAATCTATCAGCTCCCACTCCCAATGAGTAGTTACTTGCCCTACCTCTCCAAATCATCGATGTGCGAAATTGTGACAGCTACAACCACTGTACGACAAGTATGTGGTTCTTACAGCTGGTAATGATGATGAACACCAATGCCTCGCTGACGTACAACCATGGTTTACTTGAGACTTATTGTTAAAAAAGAATGAAGGTGGACGGGGAAGGAACTTAGTGCTAGCTTATTACAATCATTCTGAGGTGCCCAAACCTCCAGCCACTGATTCAGGTAATCTGGATAGAAACAACGAAGACGCCACTGACATCGGTTGTCAGCCATATCTTGCAGCGTCTTCAACCAGGTGCAGTGAGGATCACGCGGTCCCTATCCCTAAAGGCGAGCGGCTACAACAGCAACCAATCGTTTCGTAATCTTCTTCATAGTCATCTGCCCGGTCAACGGTCGACCACCTCTTTAGTTCAACAACGGCGGTAAGACGCCTATATAACAGTCGTGTGTATGAAAGCCCTAGAATAATTTACACACTGGCACATATGGAACAAACAAACCAGTTGGTAAGAGGGCCCCATCAATTAACTAGGTCAGTCCCTCAATTTGCCAAGTTCTTGCAAGCGACGACTGAAGCAGAATAGCAATTTTGTTTTTGGGCCAATCCAATCAGGTTGTCCGTTGCCAGCACAACACCGCAAGACTCAGTGGTCGCAAATTGGTTTGGTATAATTAACCGCAAGGTGAAAATTTCACCATAGACAATCGATGAGCAGGATTTACCAGACACCATCTCAACACTCCAGTCCCACTGTCCATGGGCCAAAACATGCCATCGTATTCTGCATATGTGGTGAAGCCGTCCGAGGAATCGTTGCTTCCTGTCTCTCTTTCTCTAGACTTCACGATCGTGCTCATCCTGACAACCCTATCATGTTTCCACGATGCTCGTTTTTTGTCTCAGCAGAGTCGGGCGTAAACGGTTACGCCCTGCTGCATTGTCTCATTCAAGGTTACCGAGCTGTTCTTCGGCTGGAACGCGCATCTTATCCGTTCTGATTCCTGGAGGATTTTATGATGGATGGATGACAGACACCATATCATTATTAAATTCAGACAGGAAATGACCTTCAATCAGTGATATCTTCCATGTCAATCCTCACCTAGTCTTCTTTGGAAACCAATTCGCCGCGAGTTTTTCGCAATCCAAACGCTCTGCTAGTGTCTCTTTAGACTCCCGTTGGCCCAAATTGTTTGTTTCCTTCCTTACGTCATTTTCGCCCTTGATAGCTGGCGATGTTTTCTGAATAGATGTTTGAACCAGAGGAATTCACTCTGGGTAACTGATTTTGATACAGATGGTCCGAGTCACCCGGTACGTCAATTTGTGACACACTTAGTAGGAGCGTGTTCTGAACTTCACAACACTATGGGTTCAGCCAGGTATCGCTAATACTTCCAATTCGTTTGGGATGCATTCGGCCTAGCAACTGGACGTTTTTTTAGCGAATTATCAGTATGAGTGATCGTGTGAAATTGGTGCCTACTCTACTACAGGCCTAAGAGCTATATGACAGCGATTACCATCACTCACCACCGCTAAATACTGCAGGTTCAGGAAGTCATTCTCGGAAGAGAACTGCGCCGGACTCTCCCTGTCTGGAGATGAGATTACTCCCCAAATCGGGGGAAACCAAGGCAGCTGTTGCTAACCTCCGATAACTACGGCACCGTCGCGAAGTTAACTTTTCTGTCAAGTAAACTCGACAGTGCGTCCCATACTGCTTCATGGATCAGAGACGTGGCGTCTACGCAGAGAACAGATGTCAGCGTTTGATTAACGGCCTCTCCGAAGTATTGGTCGGTTTTGGTAGGAATATCGGATTAGTAATCCTAAGGTACGCCAGATGAAGTAACTCCCCCGCG